AATCATAACAGGTTGCCTTTATGCATGCAAATTATACACAGAAGATGATCAAATAGACATTCGAATAAAAGAATCTACCCTAGCACCACAACCAGACAAGGAACAGGAAATAAGGCCAAATCGATCATTCTAAGGCTATAAGCTCCTAACCGTATATAATTTTAAAAGCATACACATAGCAAATTCCATACGATCATCCAAGTTCAGATATCAAAATAGAATGGCTAGCATATTGGGGAACTACTTACTTGGCTCGGCTGATCACACGCATTGCACTCTCATCTTTTCCTTCTTTCAAAAGCTTTTTATGTCATTTTTGAAAACAAATTTACCATTCCCTTAGTTTGAGTCCTGACACACCCGAGAATATGCCTGAATCCCTCAAACCAAGGCTCTGATACCAACTTGTAACGACCCAAATTTTGCAAAGATTTTTTTTTTAATTAGTCAACCATATTTCATAAAACATGAAAATCCAATAATTGTTTTCAAAACCACCAACATTACAACATTATTATTTTCAAAACATCAAAGTGTCCCCCAAACCATATCGAAAAAAAGAGAGATGGAGTGAATGCCGCATCATCACGCCTTGCCTTTGCCCTTGGGCTCCGATGTACCTGAAACAAATCCACAGACGACAAGCTGAAAGCTTAGTGAGTCCCCCAGAGCATACCCCACACAAACCACATATCACATTACCTATAAAAGTTATCTCTACCACTATCACACGTCAATTAGCTATGAAGCTATCTCTACCGTTAGCCACAAGGCTATCTCTACCATCAGCCATAAAGGCCGTCTCTACCTTTAGCGATAAGGCCATATCTACCATTAGCCATAAGGCTATCTCTACCATTAGCCACAGAGGCTATCTCTACCGCATAGCATGCATACATACATATCGCACCTCTACATAGCAAGTAAACCTACTAACATTAAATGGGCCAGCCTTGGTCGCACCTCTACATAGCAAGTAAACCTACTAACATTAAATGGGCCGGCCTTGGTGCCTTAGACCTATTGGTATGGTGAGAAAACGCACCTCACGAAGCTGAACCGACAACTAAATTTAGGTATGACCTACGCTGCTCATCCCAAACTGCCTATAAACAACAAATAAATAATCTTAACTCAGCCCCTAAGGCTCCTCTGAGTCAAGCCTGGTCAAAGTCTAGGTCTGTAGTCAAGGTCAACAATCCATATTGACTTTGACTCGTCGAGTACAATCAGTCACTCGTCGGGTTCCCTGCTTACTATCGACTCACCGAGTCACCTGAGGGACTCGTCGAGTTCCTTGATATTCACGGCCGTAAACTACCAACCGTACACCCTTGACCGTGAACCCTTGGCCGTGAACCCTTGGTCGTGAACCCTTTGGCCGTGAACCCTTGGCCGTGAATGAGAGAACCCTCTCTACTCGCCGAGTCACCAGAGGGACTCGACGAGTTCTCGCGTATTCAGTTCTTTCCTGTGGGATTTAAGGTTTCAAATTTCAGATCCAAACTCTCCTAGTGTGGATAACACGTAAAGTTGCAAACTTTACGTGCATGCAAAGCCTCACATGGCCATAACACTAAAACTAAACTTCAAACAAGGTTTTCATGCATGGATAGGGAATGAGCTTAATAAAAGGTGCAACTTTATGATATTTGGGACCTAAGAAGGTCCAGATCTGGAACCATATCCTTGTGATAGGTCCAGATCTAAGCTTGCTTCCATTTCCTCAAAGTTGGTCATAACCCTCAAATAGAATCTAGGCTTAAGGTAACAGATTCATACCTCAATTCAATGCCCATGACGAACTAGATGCTAGATCTAGTGCTTTCCCCCTTGATACTTCTTCTTCAAGCTTGGAATTCCTTCCAAAATCCCAAGTTTTAAGCTCCCAAAACTCTCACTTCACACACCCAGTGTTTGCGGCCGAAAACGATTTCTTGTGATGCTAAGGGAGGCTACAAAGGCGTATAATGTCGTTTATATAGGGGGCAAACCCCAAAATTTAGGGTTTTCTTTAAACAGCTCGGACATGCCGAGTCGACCCTTTGACTCGCCGAGTCGGTCCCGTCCCGCGTTACATGATACCACGACCCTACTCGACGAGTTGATCTCCCAACTCGCCGAGTCCATGCCTAAAACATTTCAAAATCAAACCAGATGTTACAGCATATCGAGGGCGGACCCCCGATATTGCTCTTTGATGCCTAAGTCAGGAGTCATGTTTGATGCTTTAAGTGTATATGAATAACTTAGAATGTTGCGTCCTAACCTTTCAGTGAAGGATCGTTTTTATAGCAAAGGTTTGGACCAGTTCCTGGCTTCTTCATTTGGGTTTTGCATTAATCTTCAGGTTGCGATGGTGAGCCTCATTTTCAATTAAAATAGTCTTGCTTTTCCCGTGTTTCGTGGAGATGCTTTATAGGGTGTGTACGATGATAGGGTGATTCATGCTTTAATGCTCGACATTTATATAGGTGCTTGTGCTCCGAGCAGGCAGGCCAGGTTGCTCGGCCGGCCTGGTTTTATGTGGACTGGTGCCCCTACCCCATTATTTGGTAAAAGTAGTTGAAAGCTTTTTAAATTGTAAATTTACATAAAAAGACAATTGTTTATATATATATATATATATATATATATATATATATATATATATATATATATATATATATATATTAACGGCAATTCTGAAAATTAATTTCAAAAGCCCAGTTGCGTTTTGTTAAACGCTACATGAAGTAGCTTTTAGATTTAGAACATTTTGTTTAAACTAAAAACTAAATCTTGGTACTGTTAAACGAAACTTTTTGTTTAAACCAAAACTTGTTGTCAAAAACTAAAATGTAGAAGCTCTCAAATGTTTCGTGCCAAACACGCCCTATATATGGATATCGTAATAATATTGTTATAGTTTTAATAACTACTGTTTTCAAGAAAAGAAAATAATAAATAAAATAATAGTTCGTTACGATTGTTATACTCTAACATGTATATACCGAAAAAGAAGCCTTATATTAATTTAGTTAATTAATCAGGGTACAAAAATCGTATAAAAAGATTAGAAAGGAGAGAAGAAAGATGAAGATGGCAAACTCAAATGAAAAAGCAAGAACATGAAAACATGATTGACCCAATTCAATAACATGAATTCCACTCATGTACATAACCCTTTTGCCATGTGCATTCAACATTCATACTTCTACAACACTAAGAAATATATATACCTATCAATTTGCAACATCTATTATAACTTATCTTAATTGCTTCAAGTCTTGTCTAATTTAAATATTCGTATTTTAAATTTTGTACTTTCAAGAAAATAGATAGTGAATGCATGTATAAGTAGACAAGCTTGATGGGTACTTGAAATGATGTCAATTTGCTCAAGATTAAGATTCCCATTTCCCTCCCCACCACACCATGGGTAAAATGATCAATCAGTATTTATGAGTTCGTTCTTCATGTATACTTGTATTTATACATTCAATTTTTAGTTGGTATCAATATATACTAGTTTTCCATGGGCATATCGTTTTATGAATCAATTAAAGGGCATTAAATTCGCATCTTGGTAAAAACTAATATTTTGTGCATCAAATTAAATAGTATGAATAAATAATGATGACAATAATCGACGCACAAGTACTTTCCTTTTAAAGATTTGTATTATTGGATGTTTAAAATAATGATGGTAATAATCTACACACAAGTATTTTCGTTTAGGCGTGTTAGGATTTTCGTCAATGAAGAGGCAACTCGTGAACTTCTTGACAAATCCGTTAAAAGGAATATCAATACTTAGACCAGCGGAAGTTTTGTTTTTTGGATGGGTAAAAAGAAAACATTAATGTGTGGATTATTGGTTTTCTCTCTGGCCGTCTTGAGGAATAAGAGTTTTACTGGAGGGACAAGTTGTTTTAGAAGTTGTCTCATGCAAATTGCAAAGTGATTAAACATGAAAAAGCATGCATGTAAAATCAACATATGTTTATAGCATTTTTGTTTCATACATTTTGTTTTCTTTCACGAGATGTTGTTGAGTTCCTCACTAGAATCAGAAAATCATTCATGGTAATATTATGAGTCCATAATCAATGAATGTAGTTTTTATAAAATTAGTTTGGTCATCCAAAAATGGTTATGGACGCCGCTTGTTTCTCATTTGTCTTAACCTCGATGTAATTTCATGAAACTTTTATTAATATATTCTTTGATTATACATTTGAAAAAGAAAATATAGAGTAATCGTTATATTTTTGTGATCTTGTATTTGTATAAGTGAATAGTAGATAATTTTAGTTTCATTTTTTTATTGTAATCGGGTTCATAATGAACATCTATAGGTTCTGAGTTTTGATATCGACATTGACGGATTCTACTAACTTGACCATACTAACTTCTAACAACTAATCACTGATCACAACTAAAAAAATATGGAATAAACTAAAAGGTTATACTAGTTTTAGGTACGTATCGTTGTTTTCAGTGGCATATCTCAAACTATCTCAAACCATACACCTAAAGAATAGCTTAAAAGTAAAAACCAATACTTATTACTAAATTGATGTATTGAAATATTACTTTTATTATTCTTTACTAACGGTTGTTTTGCTATGAAAGTTAGACATGTAGTTAATAAAATCATTATCATTCATTTTATAGTTGTAATATTAAAAGAAGTGTATTTATAATAATTATATTATCTTTAAAACAATAATTTTACATTTATCCTGAAAATTTTATAATTAAAAATATTGATAAATTTTTTTATATTAATAATAATTATATTATCCTTAATATAATCATTTTAAGTTTCCCCTAAATCATATAAATAAATATTTATAACAGTTTTGAAAGTCTAAAATATTAAAAAAAGTTAATTGTTTATAATGTTTATGGTTCGGTCGATCTAATTCAATCCATACTAAATTATTACTTATTTTTACTCGTTTTTCCAACTCATATGCATATTTTGCCACCTTTAAAGTTGCCACCTCTAAAACCATGACATGTCTTTGAAGGTCTATAAATACGTTTCATATCCCTAGCTCTTATGTCACTCACTTCACTCTCTCAAACACTCTTCGTTCTTACTAATCATATCATATCTATCCAAGGAATCCCAATGGCAAGTGTTGAGGTAATCACTCTAGCTACTTTTGAACAGTTAGAACATATATAGATCGTGGTGTTTAATTAGGTGGTTTTTTATAATAATTAGAATCTTCGTAAAAATATTAGTTTGGCCGCTTTTAACTTTTAGTTGATGTTTCAGGTGCAATCGGCTGCAAACACTTTACCGGAGAAGGTGGAAATCACCCCAGAAGCACCAAAAGAAGTCAAGCCAGTAGTTGCTGCACCGGAGCCAGTGACTGAGGAGTCACCGGAAGAAACCTCAGTCGACGTTCCTACACCCGTGGAGGAGCCACAGCCACCCACCGCCGAAGTCCCACTTGAAACTGAAACCAAAGTGGTGGAGGAGGAGCCCAAAAGTGAGGTAGAACAGGAACCCACGACAGAGACAATCGATCAAGAAGAGGTGACGGCTGCTGAGGAAACCAAGGAAGAAACTCCGGCAGCAACTGAGGCAGTCCCTGAAGACACTCCGGCGGCAACAGAGGCATTACCTGAAGAAACTCCGGTGGTGACGGAGGAGCTCAAAGAATCTGTGGAGGAAGATGAAAAACCAGCTGAGGTTGTTGCAGCAGAGGAATGAAGATTGAAGAGAAAGAGAGAGATGTTACTTTCTATTTTTAGCATGGTCGATGTTTGGTTTCTATTTTGTTAAATCTTCAAAAGCAAAGTGGGCAGTAGATGATTGGCTGAGAAGTGGGGCGCCGCTTTGGCTTTTGAGTTCTACATTTCAAGAAGTTTTCAATATGATTTATTCTATATATGTTTGCTTTTAATTTTTGAATATCAAAATGTATTCGATATTTTATGCAAAATCCTCTAAAAAAAAAAAAAAAAAAAAAAAAAAAAAAAAAAAAAAAAAAAAAAAAAAAAGTCCCCGTCTTAAAACAAAGGGTCAAGATGAGACTAACAGAATAAGAACATAAACAAACATACGAACTAATCAGAATTAGAAACCATGTTTAGATTAATTATCAATCGTGTCCTTACAAAATAAAAGATTACGCTTATTGTATGTCTTCGAATACGATGAATTTAAATAAATATTAAAAGTGGAGCTTTTGCTAAAACTGATGGGAATGAATTAAGCAGAATTATGAAGCAGAAATAAATAAAAGAGCTTTTAGGCTTTATTTCAAATTTTCAATACAATGTTTCACTTTCATTGAATAGAAGAGAGACAACGATATGTTAATGTTTCCTGTTCGCTCAAGATCTGTAATGTTTCCTTTTATCCTGTTTAAACACAAGTTATATATGCTAATTTGTTATAAATCAAAAATATACATTGCTTTGTGATTATCTACAATGAAATAATCACGATTATCAACATGGTCTATTGATGTCATCCCTTTGTCTCAAACATTTTAAAATGAAGTTAACTTAAATTCGAATCTCATCCCTTCACTACAAGAAAACTGCTTATTAGTGACCATTTTTTTAGTGACGACGTAAAATCTAGTCACTAAATACAAAGTTGAGTGACCATATATTAAGTCGTCACTAAATTTTGGGTAATACTACAAATTTAGTGACGAGTACAATTATAGTCGTCACTCACCAGTCACTAAATTATAAAATTGAATTAAAATATTTTTTTAATATTATAACAAATATTAGTGACTAAAAATAATGGTCACTCATTTACAAACGTAATGACCAAAATTAATGGTCACTACATTGTAACATTAATGACCAAATATTGTGGTCACTAGAAAACAAAAAATATTATATTTTATTTAAAATAATTACGTTTTGAGAGTTAAATTTAGTTGAATATTATTTTATTAGAAATGTAGTAATTTTTAACCGTTGGGTCTTTTTTATCAATAAATTCAAAGATGAGGGTGTTTTATATAATTTTTCGAAAGTTAACTTTGCGTTTCCCCTAAATCCAGAATCTACGCTAGCGTTTGATTCTTTTACTAGGGTTACGTGTAGACATTTGATCGTCGATTTGAACCAATCTTCCAACTTCATCGCAAATTTCCCTCTCGGTCGGGCCCGAATCAAGTCGGCATCGTAAAACGAACTGCAATTGGCTTCATCATTTTCAGTATTTCTCTCAGTCGGTCACGAAGAACCACTATTGGCGATCTTACTCTCGCAATCGTTGTCCATCGATAAGTTTTGGTGCCCTCCACCATCGGCAAGTCGATCGCTGCCTGAATCCATTGTGAGGAAGACCTCTGTCGGCCTCCACCGTCAAGCCGACGACCGCGATTTCAGGTAAGCTCTGTTTCCGTTTCTGATTTTATTGTAATACAATACTACTTTGTGTTATATTGATTTCCAAGCAATTATCACTGAATAAATCTATGTATGTATAATACTATTCTAAATGTGTTTGAGTTCAAGTCTAACTGCCTAAATATGTGTGTCTGATTTCAATTGTTGTTGGATGGATTCACTTTACTGGAAATTAGGCTCATGTGTTTCAAGAGGTCGGTCAATCTACCCTGATTTGCTAGCATAAGTTTATTCAGGTTCTTTCTCTCTCTACTCGCACAAAGTTTAGCATTTTATATGGATATTTAAACAAATCATGTGTTTACTTGAACATCCAAAATGAAAAATTATTTATATTTAACAACAGATAAAACTGAGGTGTATCTGTTCATCTGTTGTTATTTAAACAAATCATATGTCAAAGAAAGATACTCTCAAAGCACGTGAACAGTCTGCAAAGTTAGTTTGTTTTCATTCCCTATGTTTTTAATAACATTGAGATTTTGCTATAACTTGTTGGAGTTAATGTATTTTTTTTTGTATAGAACTACAACAAAAGTAAGTGAAATGTTGGGGAATGTGAATACAAACAGTGCCCTTTCAGCATTTGAGAAGATGGATGAAAAAAGTTCTCTTTCTTTCTATGTTCTATCTTAAAACAAAACAAAAGACATGAATGCCTTTCTAACTTTTTTTTTGATGTCCTGTTAGTTATAACCATGGAGTCTCAAGCAGTAGCCCTTAATCAGCTAACAACTGATGATCTTGAAGGAAAATGCAAGAAATTATAAAAAAGAAATGGGAGATGACTTTGTTTCTGTTGAACATCTTGTTTTGGCATTCCCTTTGGATAAGAGTTTTGGAAAGCAATTGTTCAGCAACTTGCAGTTAAGTGAGAAGTCATTAAAGGATGTTGTGCAAGTTGTTCGTGGAAGTCAGAAAGTAACTGATCAAAGTAAAAACATTTACCTTCTTAGTTTCACTTTCACTGGTTAATTCTTATTTCCTTCCTCAAACTTGTTATTTTGTAATGTCTGTTGTTTTTATACTGATCAAAGTCAAAATGCAGAATGATGAGGTTATATGGCAAGTTCTCAGGCATAAACACTGCAGTTATATGGCCAAGTAAGTCTTGGGCAATTTTGTCATTAATGTGCTGAAAAGTTACCTAAACGTTAAAACTGTTTCATCCCACTTTTTATTTTATTTTTATTATTTATTTTATCAGAATTACTGCTGGAATTTTTTGCCGAAATGAGTACAATTTAACTGGAATTTGTAACCGAAGCTCATGTCCACTAGCCAATAGTCGTTATGCAACCATCCGTGATCATGATGGTATTTTTCTTAACCCTAAACCCTAGGGGTAAAATTGTCATTTTTGTAGTAAAATTATCAAGTTATATACTTTATGCATAACTTTCTATTTTGCAGGAGTCTTTTACTTGTATATGAAAACCATAGAGAGAGCTCATATGCCAAACAAGCTATGGGAAAGAGTGAAATTGCCTCGCAATTACGAAAAAGCCCTTGAAATCATCGACAAAAATCTGGTACAAAACTTTATTTATATCCTTTTGAGTTTCTTTAAATGAAATTAAAAATTAAAATCGAGTTAAAATCAACATATGTATTGGCCAAAGTTTCTTGTACACAAGGCAAAACAACGGTTGACTAAAATGACACAAATGCGTATACGCATGAGAAAGCTTGCCCTTAAAACAAGGCTTTTTTTTTCTTTTTAAAAAAAATATCTTATTTGTTCTATTTCCATAATTATAATTAACCAAAATATATAAACTTTTATAGGGAAAAGATAATGACAACTCCAAGAAAAAAAAAGAAGAGAGAAGCTAGAAGAGAGGAAAAGGCTGAAAAGGCAGCAGTATTGGACAAGGTTTAATTTTTTATTTTTAAAAACTTATAAAATATTTCAGCTTTATTTTTTTTTAATAAAATGTTTTCATAATTTTAATACTTAATATTTCTATTGTCCAGAATATCGAAAAGGAATTGTTGGAGCGTTTAAAAAATGGAACTTATGGTAGCGAGATAGTTAATGCTCATGCTGAAGCATTTAATAAGTTTATTGAACAATTTGAGGGACCAGAAATGGATGTTAATGAAGAGTATGAGGTTTGTTAGTAGAATTTATTTTTCCCAAACTACCCTTTTGTTTTTTTCTTTTATTATTTTGTATAAATGTAAATATTTTCTGGAAAACAGGTGGAAACGGAATTTGTTGAAGGCGAGTATATAGAGGAAGATGATATGGAGGATTACAATGGTCTTCCAACCGGTTCCGATGGTAAGTCGAGGGCGGTTTTGTAATTTTCTTGACTTATTTTATTAATTATTAATTATTAATTAAACTATAAATGGATTAGTGGATGATGAAGATGAAGATGATGATGATGATGATGAGGTGGCAGTAGATAGAAAGAGATGAAGGAAAGATTCCAAATATGCTTTGAAGAAACAGGAGAGAGATGCTAAGAAGAAGAAAGGAAGAGTACTTGTTGAGGTAAAACTGTTGAACAACAAATTACAATGTTTATTTTTTCACCTGAAAAATATGGGAATGATTTGACCCTGAAGGGAAATATGAGGCACCTGAAAAATATGTGAATGATTTGACCCTGAAAGAAAATTGTTATTATGTAATGGTTTCACCGGTTCACATGAACACCGGTTTTTTGGCCTTTAAGAACCGTATCAGGGACCGGTTCCCGGTCGAACCGGTCCGGTTTTCAAAACATGGGTCATATGTGAATGTGATGTAAGAAGCTCATATCTGATTTAAGCTCTTATACATTTACATTTCTGCAATCAACTGTCATATTAATTGACGATTTGTTCAACAGGTTGCTGCAAAAGGGGAACTAAACTCTGCATTTGCCATTGTTAGACCTCCAGGACACCATAGTAAGAGTGATCAATATTCAATGCAATGATACATACAGTTTGTCAAATCAACCATTGACTACTATCTTATGAATTATCTAAATTAATTCTTCTTATGTATATTGCAGGAATTAGGTATTAACAAGATACTAATTGTTGATTGGGATGTTTATCATGGAAATGGTACTCAAAAGACCTTCTATAAAGACTCCCAAGTGTTGTTCTTCTCTATACACAGGTAAATGATTAGTTTCCAATATTAATAATAATCTCTTATTTAAAAATTTTTGGTTTAAAACTATAAATAATGCAGGGATGAGTATGGGACTTTTTATCCCTGTGGTGATGATGGATCATATGACATGAAGGGTGATGGAGAAGGTGAAGGATACAATATAAATGTTCCATGGGAGAATGGAATATGTGGTGATGCAGATTATATTGCAGCATGGGACCATATACTGATCCCTGTTGCAAGAGAATTTAAACGTGTTCAAGTAAGATTTTTTATCTTGTAGTATGGTTCCAACATTCCATTTTTTATAAATATCATTGTTGATTGATTTTTTTTTTTTTTTTTGTTATTATTAATGGTCTTGATTTGGCTCTTTTTGTAAATTTCAGTCAAGTATTGGTGCCAAAAAACATGCAATTGTGATGGACACATGCAACAGATATCTCTAGAAGAGAACCAATGGTTCGCATTACAGGTATCAGCATCAAAAACACTAAATTTTTAGCTTTTTATTTTGATTAATCAATTGTGAGTTTTATTTGTCTTTTAAGTTCTATATTAAGTCAAAACTTTCTTGATAAGGAATGAAGTATGTAATGGGGTTAGTTCTAATTATGAATATGAAATTCAGTATGGAGTAACAGATAGTGGCTTTTCTGGAGTAAGAGCTCTAAGCAAGCTTTGACTGCTGTAAGTTTGTAAGTTTCTTTGATTGATGGATTTTTGTCAAGTAAAAAAAGTAAATCGTGTTAACTGAAATCACATACATGTATTGCAGATTAAGATAACATCTTTGTTTGGGCATCATTTGAAAGAGTAATAGATTAATGTATTGCAATACTATTTCACCTACGTTGCTGAAAGGATCAAGAGAATGTAAAGGCATTTATTGTAAAAAAAACTGGGAAGAGTTGAATCTTTTCTTTATTTGGTTTTTTTGTGTAATTTGCTGAAAAGTTGTATGTCTGCATGATAATTTAAGACTGTACCAAATGGAAAATAATTTTCCCCAAGCTTTTAGTTTTTAGCTATTGTGGGTTTGTTTAAATTTGAGAATATTTTTTGTTTATCAATGAATAATAGTATATTTTACCATTGACTAGTTACTTAAGTGGGTCAAATGCAAAAAACAACAAAATCAGTGACGACTTTGTATGGTCACTAATTGGATAAACCATTGACAACTTTGTATAGTCACTAACTGAATAACACAGTGACGAATTTTTATGGTCGCTAATTGGATAAACCAATGACGACTATGTATGGTCACTAATTGATTAGCATAGTGACAACTTTTTATGGTCACTAGTGGGACAAAATACTGACGACTTCCGTTGATTAGTGACAACATTTAGTGACGAAACGGGTCGTCGTTGATTTAGTGGCAAAGATATTTTAGTCACTATTTAGTGACTACTTATATGTTTTGGTCATTAAATCGGTTTTGTGACGGACATATAGTGACGACCGGGATTTTGGTCACTAAATCGTTAGTGATGACCCTTTCTATTGTTAGTGACCATTTCATTTTGGTCACTAATTAGCATTTTTTTTGTAGTGCTTTGACTCATATTTGTTAATTTCTTTTTATATATATGTTGAAATTGATTGAACACTAATTTATTAAACAAAATAGCACTAAAAATAAATCATATATACTAAAAAAACAGTAACCATCCACAAATAAAGATAAAATCAGTAGAAGCAGTTTACAAAATACAAAATACAAAATACAAAAAAAAAACCTTAAAATATATAAATTTTGAACTAATTTGGTTTATTAAGGAATGAGGGGCACACACTCCACTATTTGTGAGGTCTGTCACAACTAGCATTTTCAGCTAGGAAATTCTATTCCCATGTAAACATCAGCTATTGTAAAAACTTGTACTCTAGGTGAATATCATGCTATATGCTAAATGAAACCATCCATTTGAATCCAAACTCTTGATTGAAGTTCAAAACCTAATACAATACATCTCATATGTTCTACTATGGATTGAAAACCCTAAAAATCCCGGTTCAAGATTATTATGGGCTAGGATTCTCTTATTGGGCCTAATGGACCAATAAACTTTCAATTTGACTACTTTGGGCCTAGGAACCCTATTTGGGCTCTAATTGGACCCACATCCATGAAATTAAGGTATTTTGAGTCATATGGGCCTAGAATGATCCATTTTATTTCTAATAGGCCATGATGGGCCATAACTAGTTTCATAAGCCTTAATGGGCCGTAAACCCCATTCCATCATCACCTTTGGGCCATAAACCCATAAAAGGGCCCAATGGGCCGAAATTTCCATATTAGGCCCTATAACATTCGAATATATTCACCTATGGCCCAAATTAATTCTTTTCTTTTCTCCTTAAGCCCTTCTTGGGTTTTAAAAAAAAGAGAGAAGAAATGGAAGAAGATTGATCTAGGCTTGACAACACATAATTAACCTACATGTTTCAAGGTAATCACATACTTCTAGAAGCTATTATCCTCCATGACATAATGTTTAATCTCTCTCCTCTTTCCTCTCTTCTTATGGCCGAAAGATCCCATACCCCTCCCCACTTCATCCCTTTCAATCTCCAAAATTCTCTCTAACTCTCAAAAGTTTCTCACATTTTTCCTCTTCCAATTTCGTGTGTGCTTATGTGGGTGTCCAAGGATACTTCATAAAATATCCATCCATCTTGGTAAGCTACTTTCACTCAAGAAGTTTAACTTCATATTATGTTAAACTTGTTACTCATTAGCTCTTCAAACCGTGATTTGTGCACCATGAAGCTCTTAGAACTCGAAGAACTCATCAAGAGGTAGACTAGGCCGAAAACAACATCATCTCCTCTCATCTCTTCACCAAAAACCGAAAACATCAAAGCAAAGTGAGTTCATACCCCTCTATTTTCGATTTTTACGTCGTTTTGGGGGAGAATACAAGTTGTTTTGTGTAGATCTATGTGTGTATGCATGATTTTGTGTGTTTCTTTGGTTACATATGTGTTTATGTGTTGTAAAGTTCATGAACTAAAAGATCTACTAAAAGATGATGATATTGGTACAACATAACACTTATTTCAACATATCTCACAAGAAAAAGGGTTAAAATACATCAAGGATACTTGAATCTAAGAAAAACTTCATGAAAGGGACTAAAAATGACAAAAGTGACAAAATATGGGTTGTTTATGTAACTCTCGGCTAGTAAGGGGTTCAAAAGGAAATTTTTGCAAACTAATAGCTAATCTCGACATTTCAGACCTTATAGGGACCAAAAATGTTAATATTTTCATAAGTGGGCCTTATTTGGGCTTCTCACGGTTTTGGGCCCAAGAATTGAAATTTTTGGTCTTTTGTGGGTTAAATTGTCATTTTCAAGAAAGTTGTGTCAAAAATGTAAATTTTTGATAAAAAGGGTCAAAGTTGCGAAATTATGAACATTTGGGCCAAAAAGATGAAATTTTCTATAAATGGGCCGAAAATGTATATTTTCACAAAAATCAAGCCAAAAATGATATTTTTGACAAAAATGAGTTAAAAATGTTGTTTTTCAAAAACTAGCCTTAAAATACAAGTTTTGTCCAAAGTGGGGCCTAAAATGTTATTTTTACTAAAATTGGGCATTAATTGTAAATTTTTGGCTTAATGGGCCAAGAATGTCATTTTTACAAAAAGTGGGCTTTTAATGCTATTTTGGTAAATAATTGAGCTAATACTAGCAAAACAATAACAAACGGGCTAATTTGGTTATTCTCATGTTATTGGGCCTTAGTGGCCCATTAATATGCTTGATAGGTCCTGAATATTATTTATTTGTTTATTGGGCCTCACTGACCCATTAACATGCGCGACGGACCTTGGATATTATTTGCGTGCTATTTGGGCCTATAAATACCTTGCATGTGAAATGGGCCTTAGTTGTCCTTTTACATATATTTTTGGCCCATGTTATATAATCTCCTTCCTTTCTGACCTGAAAATGACTTACGTGAGCCTTAGTGGTTCGCTTACAAGGTTCATTGGGCCCGGAGTGAGTTTTATATGCTTCTCTTCGCGTAAAATTCAATTAAGGATCTAGTGAGACGTGTCGGTTGACACCTATTGTGTGTATGATCGTAGCCTGTAGTTATAATCAGAGTCTCTTGGAGGGAGAGCGGGGGTTTGTGTATAGATTTATACGGGGATGACACCCCACACCTGAGTTGTTCGCTACATTTAGACTACATCAGTCTAGGGTGACCAAAATCCTTATCCTATTTTCCGTCGGCGTTCGACAACGCCAAGACAGGCGAATTTGTCATTAATTAGCATGGTTATAACGACTCACTTAGAGGAATTAACGTTATGAAATTTACGGAAGACCATTCTCTTTTCTCTTTGGATTACTTGGGAACATACTCACACTGGTACTCAACCTCGGGGGTTGGTATGGCGGCATTCTCTTTTACAGGCAACATAGGTTTGTCTGGGGGCATTCTCTTTACATTCTCTTCACTTACTTTTGGGATTCTACTAAACAAAAACACACATGCATTAATACAAGATCGGACACAAACACACTAAACTATTTTAAGAAAATATAGGATTTTCTTGTGATTACAAAGTTATACAAATAATTTTCTCATAACATGCTTATGAACTCACCAACATTTTTATGTTGACCTTTTTTAAACTAACTTGTATTCTTAGGAAACCGCTGAAGCAGGTTGGGCTGAACAGTTTAATGGATGTTTTGTTATATTTTGTTCATCATACTCTAATTATTTTGGCATGTAATATTTAAAGGCAATACTCGATGTAAACAATGTATGTTGTTATATTACATGTGTGATGATGATGATGTTATGTTTCAATTATATACTATGTGATGATACTACAAGGATGAAGTCATGCGCAAGCCCCCGGACGTTTCTGCCGTCTGGTTCGGGGGTGTGACAGATTGGTATTAGAGCATTGTCTATAGTGAACTGGCATATCTAATCATACATGATATGCAACTATAAATACAATTGGACTAAAACACTCTGAATAAAATGATACCTAGGTATACATTAAAACTATAACACTAACAGTCTCTGAAGGAAATTAAACACTGTGATTAAACCCGGACAGTTATGTAGTCATATTGGGGATAAATATAGCCTAATCAACTATATTTATTCAAAATATGACCAACATGTGTTTAGGAGTAATCATGGCGGGAAATGGATCTAGAAGCTTACCTCGTATCCAAAACTTCTAAGGAACTCAAACTTAAATAATCAAAATACTATAGGAGTATTTTGGAAAACTTATTTGCACATACTCCCTTTACACACTTCTCACTCCCAGTTTCTCGCGCAGTCGCCATGGACGAGGTACATCAGGCGTCCTTTTCTATCAGGCCCTAGTGGCCCACGGAATGATCGAGGAAGGCCCCGTGATAGGTCAGGAGGCAGCCCCCGGTGTTGGGCCCGAGGAGTACATGGAGACGGACTACGAGTTTGGAGAATCCGATGAGATCATGGAGGAGGATGGGGACGCTAATGAAGTCCCCAGTGAGCCTCCCACTTCAGAGATAGTACAGGATCACTCCGCAGCACCACGAGATCCCGTCGATAGGACTGGCTCCTTAGAGGAGGAGGTTGCCACCCTTCGGCAACAACTATTAGCAACAGAGACCCGAGCTGTACAGGCAGAGCACGAGAGGGACGAGGTCATCAGGGAGATGACCGAGATGGCTGATCTTGTAGCACGACATTTCGGCATGTGATTTCACCGTCAGACCCATCTCGTCGCAGCTAGTATCCGTTCACTTACTATCGCCATGATTTTACTTATGCATT